GTCTAACAAAAGTCAATTCTATTTCTGCAATTAAAAACAAGTGAACTCAAATCCCTACCACCTTTCTCAGTCCTGGGCTCTGCCCAGGGAGGCTTCTACACAGTCTTTTTTGGCAGTTTGTCTCTGGGAAATGGGGAGGCTCCCTTTCCCCCTGCTTTGCCCCAAGATAGCCAGCAGGATCTCCCTGATCTCCTGTTGTCCTCCCTCCCCAACAGACAGTTTCTATCCTCTTTGATAAAAGCTCAGAGTTTTTATGGATCAGGAGAAAATGCAGGCCCTGAGAAACCTATCCCTGCAGAAAGGTTCCCTTGGGCCATGCTTTGGGTTTTCTGCTCTTTATATTTTTATTTTACTCTCCATTTTTCTGCCCTCCCCTTGCCCTAAGTCTAAGCTCAGCAAAGATGAGTGCTCAGGGCAGCTCCTAGGCCTGGACAGCTCTCAGGGAGGAATGATATAAATGTTCAGCATGCCCGTGCCTAGCCCATCTAGTTTCATTCTTTAGTTACCCAGGCCATTAGCTTCGGGTTATCCCCTCTTATATCTGCAAACCCAATGCTTGGAGAAGCAGCATAGGGCTCTAACAGGTGATACCTCTCTCTTTCATTTCAGAATTTGCCAACTTAGGGGCCTGGCTCTGGAAGGCAGTTTTCTTAAAGGGGACTGCATCCTGGGTGACCCGAAGTCTCCAGACCTAGAGGGACAACTGTGCCCTCCCTTCTCTCCTTCATGTTCTCTGGCTGGATTGATTCAGCTGTAGAAACCATTTGGTCTGTTGCACTCCAACATACTGCTAGGTTCCTTCCAGAGTCACTGTATCACACTAGCTTCCTTTTGGAGGGAGAGTGATGTGGTTGAATACTCAGAGAGCAGAGGCAGTGGGTGTACATCTTTAGTTCCCCATCTTCCGGTTTCACCTCCGGTCTTCCCATTGCCCTAAACCTGAACGCATCATGCCAGGCCTCACTCATACAGGATGGTGTCAGCTCACTCCTCAGCAGTAATCTAGGGTGTGTGGGAAGCTTAGGGCTCTGGGGAAGAACAGAATCAAAGAGGGGAGTGATGTGGGTGGAGGCACCAGTTTTATATCACACCCCCTTTGTAAGCCGGTGAGCTGGGCTTCAGTTTTCCCCAGACCATGCACACTTTTAATTTATTTGCGAGAAACTAATTGTATTTTCACTGCAGTATCTTGTTATTTTTTATTTGTGATTTTTTTTTTTTTTTTTTTTTTTTGGGGA